AACTTGGAATAGTACATCTGATTGTCCACTTTGTGTAAAAGAAGAGATGCTTCAGATCTCAAATGGTTTATTAAAAGTAGTAAACAAGGCCGGGCGCAGTGGCTGAAGCCTGTAATCCCAGCATTTTGGGAGGCCAAGGCAAGAGGATTGTCTGAGCCCAGGGGTTCGAGACCAGCCTGAGCAACTTGGTGAGACTTCGTCTCCCCAATAAATCAAAAAATTAGCTGGGCCGGGTGGCACATGCCTGTAGTTCCAGCTACTTGGAAGGCTGAGGTTGAAGGATCGCCTGAGCCCAGCAGATAGAAACTGCAGTGATCGTAAGCGTGCCACTGCATTCCAGCCTGGGCAACAGAGTGAGACTCCAGCTCAAAAATAAAATAAAATAAAATAAATAAAAGCAGTAAACCGATTTTCCAGATTACCAGGGACTTGGAGAAAAATATATTTAAAAATTGGTGTCATGAAGGCTTAGGAGAAAAGCATGTAAAGGGATGTTTCAAAACAGACATAAGAGTATTCACTGCAGAGGATGCTCTTAATATATGGGTGGACCAGATAACCTGTCCTGCGGATGTCAGCAAATCTTTTTCACCAGGCATTCTGGTGCTTTCTCAGTGAGCCTGTGTACAAAGTGGCGACAATGATAGGGACAGAGCTACACATAAGCTCAAGCATGTGGACTCACCCTCACTTGGCCTTCATCACTGCTGAGTGTCCCATCAGCCCACAGCAGAGGCCAAGCCTGAACCTCTGATATGACACTATTCCCCAGGCCACCAGCCAACCAACTGGTGACACACTGATTATATTGTGCTCCTTTCATTATGGAGAGAACAGTGGCTTGTCCCTCACAAAATCAGACCCATATTCTGAATACTGATTTATCTTTCTTGCTTCTGGCATGTATGCCAAAGTCAATCTCTTTGGACTTAGAGAATTCCTGATTTGTAGCCATTGTATCCTACACAACATTGTCTCTGATCAAGAGACAGATGTTGGCCGGGCACAGTGGCTCACGCTGATGATCCCAGCACTTTGGGAGGCTGAGGTTAGAGGATTGCCTAAAGCTGAGGGTTCGAGACCAGCCTGGCGAGACCTCATCTCTACAATCAATCAAAAAAATTAGCCGGGCATGGTGGCGCATTCCGGTAGTTGCAGCTATTTGGAAGACTGAGGCAGAAGGATCGCCTGAGCCCAGCAGGTTGAGGCTGTGGGCTGGGTGACAGAGTGAGACTCCAACTCAAAAAAAAAAAAGGTGCAGCCGGGCTCGGTGACTCAACCTGTAATCCCGTGCTTTGGGAGGCTGAGGTGAGTGGACTGCCTGAGCCCGCAGGTTCGAGACCCTCCTAGGCAACTTGGCGAGACCTCATCTCTACAATAAATCAAAAAAGAATCAGCCGGGCGTGGTAGCGCGCGCCTGTAATTCCGGCTACTCAGAAGGCTGAGGCAGAAGGATCGCCGGAGCCCAGCAGGTCGAGGCTGCGGTGGCCGGGAGTGGCCACTGCACTCCAGTCTGGGCAACAGAGTGAGACTCCAACTCAAAAAAAAAAAAAAAAGAAGCCAACTCTACTAAGTTTGGGTTGCTGTCTTACCAGATGCGGTATTGGCTTTAAATTAGCACTTGCTGGGCACAGTGGCTCACACCTATCATCCCAGCACTTTGGGAGGCTGAGGTGAGAGGATTGCCTGAGCCCACAGGTTCAAGACCATTCTGGGCAACTTGGTGAGACCCCATCTCTACAATAAATAAAGAAATTAGTTGGACTTGGTAATACATACCTGTACTTCCAGCTACTTGGAAGGCTGAGTTGGAAGGATCACCTGAGCTCAGCAGGTTGAGGCTGCAGTGCCCGGGAGCATGTTACTGCCTTCAAAAAATTTTTAAAATTGGCACTGAACATAGGAGACCCTCTTCTCCAGAGCCTGAATGCACAAATCCAGGAAGCAAGAGGTACAGGTGAGATTATCCTCTCACTGCTACGTCTAATAAACCCTTTAAGACTTTTTGCTTCCTTTCTCCATTATCCTGAGTTCAGGGAATTTGAAGGTGCTAGGACTACAAGATGAATTTCTTCCCTAGGAAACATGGCGAAGGCTCTAATGAATCGGGAGCCCTGACAATTATGGGCTTCTCATAACACTGAGAAAAAAGGCAGTCGGGCTGGGTGGCTCGGCCTGTAATCCCACGCTTTGGGAGGCTGAGGTGAGTAGATTGCCTGAGTCCGCGGGTTCGAGGCCCTCCTGGGCAACTTGGTGAGACCTCATCTCTACAATAAATCAAAAAAATTAGCCGGGCGTGGTAGCGCCTGTAGTTCCAGCTACTTGGAAGGCTGAGGTGGAAGGATCGCCGGAGCCCAGCAGGTCGAGGCTGCGGTGGCCGGGAGTGGCCACTGTACTCCAGTGTGGGTGACAGAGTGAGCCTCCAACTCAAAAAAAAAAAAAAGAAAAACCAGAGAAGAGAGCCATACTACTGGCCAGGGTGAATGATCCTGACACCAGATGAAATTAGGTTGCTAAAAAAAAAAATAAAGAAAGAAATTAGGTTGCTACTACAGTATAATGCAGAGAATTCACAAGAACATCTCTTTAGTTCTCACCTAATCGTGTTATTCAGAAGAAAAATGTGGCCACTCAATAAAACAAGAACACTAAGGACTCAGACTCACAAGGAATAAATGTTTGGGTTACCCCACCAGATGAAGAACCCCACTCAGCTGAGTTGTGACAGAAAACGTGAAAGGGAAGAAGAAAGCAGATGCTACAATGTTATCGTTTTCTATTGATTTATCATCTTGTTTCTCCCTTTTTTCTGTCCCTACATAATATGAAGGACACCAGTGGTGATTAATGTGTTCGGTTTCAGCTAGGAATAAGAATGAGTTGACATCATCCGGTGATGATATAAGAGCTGGTGAGCCTTTGCATACCTCTTGTGTTGGGCACACGAGTTCTTCTCTTGCTTGAAGCATGAGTGGATGATTTGACCCTTCAGATCCACTCTGCCCCCTTGTCCTCCAGCTCTGTGCCCAGGGATGATGACATTTATGGGCCACAACAACTTGCCTTTCATGCTTTCTGATGTCCTATGGCTTTGACCTTTGTGAGGCTTTCACAGGGAATTGGAGGGCAAAAGGGAAGAGAGGTCAGATGATTTATTTTATTTCCTTGTCTCCTTTCCTTCTTTCTTTCTTTCTTTCTTTCTTTATTTTTTTTTTTGAGGTGTAGTCCCACTCTGTCATCCAGGCTGGAGTGCAGTAGTATACTCACGGCCACCACAGCCTCGACCTGCTGGGTTCAGGTGATCCTTCCACCTCAACCCCCAAGTAGCTGGAACTACAGGCATGCGCCACCATGCCCAGTTCATTTTTTGACTTATTGTAGAGACGACGTCTTGCCAAGTTGCTCAGGCTGGTCTCGAACCCAGCAGGCAATCCTCTTGCCTCTGCCTCCCAAAGTGCTGGGATTTCAGGCATGAGCCACCACATCCAGCTCCTCGTCTCCTTTCGTTAGAGGTTGCTGCAGGCTGACAGTGTCCCAAAACTGAAGGCCCTGTCCACACAGTTGTCCAAGTTAATGGGTTCTAGCAACCATACTCTCCCTCACCCTTTAGAACCAGGCAGAACAATGGTGCTCTGCTGTTACTAGTATAATACATAGGATATTATACTACCTCCTATGTGTTCCCTGTACCAGTACTCAGCCTTGTAAATTGTACATCTATTCAAATTCCTCAAATTACCCAATTTGAGTGGACCACCTGCTTCTTGTCAGGTTCCCTATAGATATATTATATGAACATTTGTATAAAACAAGAAAAAATTAATTTAAAAAATAACTAAATAAGCTTAGCCTTCTCTTCTCATCTTGTCTTTCATTTCTATAAACCAGACCAGAGTTTAAAGGGTATCACAGCTAAGGCGGTTTGGTACTTAGCTTCAGAATTTCTAAACTGGAGGCTTGGGACTTAGGAGTCTCAGGCTTAGAAATTCTATTTTAAAAAATCAGTGCTAGCCAGGCTCGGTGGCTCAGCCTGTAATCCCGCGCCTTTGGGAGGCTGAGGTGAGTGGATTGCCTGAGCCTGCAGGTTCGAGACCCGCCTGGGTGGTGAGACCTCATCTCTATAATAAATAAAAAAATCAACTGGACGTGGTAGCGCATGCCTGTAATTCTGGCTACTTGGAAGGCTGAGGCGGAAGGATCACCGGAACCCAGCAGGTCGAGGCTGCGGTGGCTGGGAGTGGCCACTGCACTCCTGTCTGGGCAACAGAGAGACTCCAACTCAAAAAAAAAAAAAAAAAGAAAGATCAAATCCTTTGACTCCAATTCTCTTTCACCTTCTCCACTGTCAGTTTAGATTTAGTTTAAAGAGAGTCAAAGTCTTCACTTCTCTTCAGGTTACAATTCAATTTAAAAATAACAAAAACTTGGCTGGGAGCAGTAGCTCACACCTGTAATCCCAGCACTTTGGGAGGCTGAGGTGGGAGGATTGCTTGGGTCCGAGAGTTTAAGACCAGCGAGTAAGAACTTGTCTCAAAAAAAAATTTTTTTTAAATTAGCCAGGCATGGAGGTGTACAAAAGTTCCCTTTTCTCCATATGCTTGATAATATCTGTTGTTTTTTGTCTTTTTAAGAATAGCTAACCGGGCTCAGTGGCTCAGCCTGTAATCCCGCGCCTTTGGGAGGCTGAGGTGAGTGGATTGCCTGAGCCCGCGGGTTCGAGACCCGCCTGGGCAGCGAGACCTCATCTCTACAATCAATCAAAAAATCAGCCAGGCGTGGTAGTGCATGCCTGTAATTCCACTACTCGGAAGGCTGAGGCGGAAGGATC